CCCTCTCTCTCTTCTTCTTCTTTTTTTTTTTTTTTTATACTGGGGATTGAACTCAGGACTTTGTGCTTGCAAGGCGGGTATGGTGCCACACTGAGCTAAATCCCTGGCCCCTTCCTTCCTTTCTTCCTTTGTAATTTTTTTTTTTTTTTGGTTTTTTTTGAGACAGGGTCTCACTATGTAGTTGAGGCTGATCTGGAACTCACTAAGTAGCCCAGGCTGATCTTGAACTCACAGCGATCATCCTGCCTCAGCCTCCCAAGTGCTGGGATTACAGGTGTGCGCCACCATGCCCGGCATCCTTTGTCATTTTTTGAGACAGGGTCTCACTTAAAAGTTCAGGCTGATATTTAACTCACTTTGTAGTCCAGGCTGGCTTCAAACTTGCAGCAATCCTCTTGCCTCAGCCTCCCAAGTGCTGGGATTACAAGTGCATGCCACTATGCCTGGCTCATTTTACTTATTTTTTTTTAAATTTCAAAGTGCATGGGTGGCAGGGAGGTCAGAGCCTCAGAGTAGCCAAAGACAAAGATACTCCAAGCTAGCCATTATTTATTGGGTACACAGCGTAATTGGAGGAAGGTGGGACAAGATAGCAGGCTAATAAAGAACTTGTCCTTCCTCCAGGTGAAACCTCTCTCTCTCTTTTTTTATTACTTGGTTCTCAAAAAGCAGGATGTCTTCAGCTGATGTATTCTTACCCTTGAGTGTCACAGTATCACAGGACCACTGAGGCCTCAACTTATACCAGAGGCAAACAGAAATTATGTTTTCACATGCCATAGCTAATTTCACTTTTTGAAAATAAAAACATAAGCTTAATTATGGGCTTTTTTACTTTCTTCGAATGAAAATCTTCAATTTTTCTTTTCAAAAATAAATGTTTTACTTTAATATAACACACATATAGAAAAGTGTACAAATTGTAAGTGAACAACTCAATGAAATATTAGAAAGTGAGCAAAAGAAACATCAGTCTCCTAGAAGTGTTTCATCACTTCTCCCTCCCCTTTTCCCGAAAGTAACCACTACCCTCATTTCTCACATTTTCTAGTAATGCTGGACTTCATTTCTTATGGTGCGAGGGGTTTAACCCAGGTATTGAGCATAATAGGTAAGCATTCTATCATTGAGCTACATCTCCAGCACCTGAACTAAATATAAACAGAATCATACAGTATGCATCCTGTTGTGTCTGGTTTCTTTCACTCAATTTATATTTTTGAGTTAAGATTATAAACATCCTGCCTAGTTGCCATTAGTATATGCTTCACCTATTATTTTAAATAAACTTTAATGATAGCCCCCCCCCGTCAGCAAAGTTATCATATACTGGAGAAAGCTCATATATGAGAGAAACCTTTCAATAATTTATTGGAATCTTACTAAATCTGTGCTGTCTTTAGGTTATTATAGGTAGAGAGTAGCTGAACTTCTCAGCAGTCCAGTCCTCCCTGTTCCCATCTAATCCAGGGGCTGCTATATTCTAGGCAAGCACTGTGTTATTGAGCTACATCCTCAGGCCGCTGTCTTTTTGTTGTTGTTGTTTTGTTTTTTGAGACAGGGTCTCACTTTGTAGTTCAAGCTGGCCCTGAACTCACTATATAGCCCAGGCTAGCTTCCAACTTGCAGCAATTCTCCTGTCTCTGCCTCCCAAGTGCTGGGATTACAGGTGTGCGCCACCATGCTGGGCCACCACTGTCATTTTTTTTTTTTTTTGGTACTGGGGATTGAACTCAAGGAAGGTGCTGGAACCACTGACCTAAATCCCTGGCCCAACCACTGTCATTTTTAAAAAGATGTTTGTCTTTTGGATAAATTGTCTTTATTAACCAAAAAGACAAAAAATTTTCCTTATCATCTTGCTTTGGGGATTGGATGTAAGATGGTGGGTGAACTGTAAAAACACTACACAGATTCCTAGCATTGTTTTTATGTTGGGTTGCATCTTGGCAGCTATGAGGAGATGAAGATGATTCTGTGAGAGCTCACAGACCTAAACTCAAGTAACTTCAGGTCAAGGAGGATCCCATTTTGAGCAAAAGGCCAAAACATAGGCATTATTGGGCAATGGAATTTAGAAGAGTAGCTATAGATGTTCTCCTAAGAGCCATGCAGTGTGTGCACCTGCTGGACCTATAATTTCGAGTTAGGAAATAGGGGTTTCCGGTTATGCCTACAGTGAGGGGTGCTCCTTTGTAGTGAGCTTGAGAATTATATTCAAACAAACACAAGAGAAGCTCATCCTTCTGGTTCAGCTTAGTAGTATACCCGTCATGATGGCAGAGGTGAAGAAAAGGAATATAGCCGAAGGGACATTATAGTCTCCAAGGGGAGTATTGCGAAATAATAAACTAGATAAGTTCACAGGCCACCTCAACTCGAAGGACTGAGGGAGTGCTTTAGGGTACAGAGCTGTGTGGTATCACTCACTGCAAGCTTGGGCAGTCTTTGGTGGAAAGGATGCTTGGCAGGATCTTTGGCAGATTAGAGACGTCAAGTCTCAAGGCCGTGTGACCATTTTGTCTCTCCCAAAGAGAAACATGATTTAAAGAAAAGAAAAAAACCCAAAAAACAAAACCCCCACTAGCCAATCAAACAAAAACCCAGCGCAGGCTCCAAGTCCTTCCCACATTTCTTCAATACACCATAGAGAAAGGGGCTCTGAGCTTCTTCAAAGAGCCATTTCAACTTCCCGGCTCCTACACCTCCTCCCTCACCACAGGCAAAGGATTTACAAACCCACCTCCTTCCTCCAGTTGCTATGGAGACCAACCCGGGTCCTTTCATTCCTCTGGTACCCGGAACGTCTCTCCAGCGCAGGCGAAATGGAGGGGGCTTAGCCAAGCATGCTGGGGGAGGGGTGTCAGTACAGTACAGTGACGACTGAACCTGTTCCAGGGACAAATCAGCGGGTTCAAGCCTTTCTGTCTACAACAGGCGGCCACCTGCCGCCAAGCCTTTGAGTCCGGGGAGGTTTCGGGACCCAGAGTGCCAAACTCTCCACGCTTGGGGGTGGGCAGAGAGGGAGGAGAGGAGGAGGGGAGGCGGGCCCCTCCACCCACGCGTCCATTGGGCGGCGCCGCCATCAGTCTCCCTACAGCGACACCGCCTTCTCAGTGAGCCCAGAACCTCCCCTCCTCCGCCACCTTCCGCCCCACCCCGTCATAGGGGACCTCTCATTGGACATAATTGCGGTCAATCTACCTCGAGTTAGAAATCCGATTGGACGAAAGGCCTTCGGGCCTCCCTGAGCCTGCTCGAATTGGCTTGCTTAACGTTGGCGCAACGGAAGAGGCGGCCAGCCGAGGGTGCGCCTCTTCTCCTGCTGAACTGCCGCGGAGGAAAGGAGTTCAGCTCTGGGGGCCTGGCTAGGGCGGCAGCAGTGGCTGCTGTGCATGGGAACGGGCCGGCTCGGCGCGCCCATGGAGCG